AGAGCGTATCGGAGGACGGAGACCAACAAGACCTCCCTCATCCTTGGCCCTATCTCAAAGAATTTTTCCAAATAGTCGAAAAATTTAGCTTTCAATTCATATAGTGGCATCTAGCTGGTTTTTTTAAAGGGAGCGTAATACTTTTATACTTGAAGTAGTTTTTGGAGCACATACTTTTTCACTTTTACTAGAGTAAAGAGGTCAAGTTGATACTTCAACGTTTACCAAAGTGTTTTTAAACTGCAGTATCTATACTTCTACTTAAGTAATAAATATGTGCACTTTTGACACCACTGAAGTTATGTAAATAAGTTAGAAGGGATGGATCTTGTTTAAATGTGACCATAGAATGTAGCCCTGAGGAGCCCAAATAAGTGAAACCTGTAGACTCAGATTTATGGTCATGTATATTAAGTATACGAGGTAATCCCCATCTGCTAATAAGATCTGAATCAATTTAAAGGATTATTAGACAAGACCATCAAGATTTTCATTCTTTTATCCAGGCCCACAAAAAAGAATATTATATGCAACAACACCATTTACGTTGTAATCATTTTGTTGTTTGAAACTTTATTTCAAACAAATTTAAAATGTATTTACCATCAAGCTTTTTGGTTTCCGCTAAAACATGCAGGCCTCTAGAGGAGTGTAGAAGTTATCAAGGCCAACCAAAGTTTAAAAATGTGCAACTGCGTCAACAGAAAGAAAGACTTCTGGTTGGAAAGAATTCGAGAACATCTCCTACAGCTGCTTCATTAACTTTGCAAAGTCATAATCTCAGAACCTGTTTACATTATTTTTCTGAACAAAATCTATTGTTTAAACATTTCTAAGCAGCACAGAAGGTGTTTAAACAGAAGGGTTCTAAATAATCTACTGCAAAATACATCTAAATATTTTGAACAATGAAGCATATTGGGACAAGAAGTAAAGTAGTTTGGTAACTTTAACCCTTCAAATAAACCATTCAACTATGAGAAAATGAATTATAGATAATTAACATTTTTTTATTTGCAAGACTATTATGCGAATAAAGATAACTATATAAAAGTTTATTATCAATCATAATTAATCAATTCTTTATTCAAAATTTTAAAGGTTTATTTCTGGCTAAAAATTAAAGACACCAAAAGAAACACCAGACTCATACAGAATAATTTCTTATATAATTTATTTTGGCAGATATCTTAAAACATGAGTTCCCTTCAATAAACAGTGGTTAAAAAAGGACTGCATACATCTCCTAACAGATCCTCCTGTCAGTTATGTGCTACTGCAGTAACCCATCTGAACACCGACTGCAAAGGGAATTTAAAAAGCATGTTTCAATGTCTCCCAGGGTCCATCATGAGCTGTGCTGAGATCAGTTGGACTGGTTGTTCATGGACTGGTAGGCCTGGATGTCCTCTCCGATGAACTCTGACACTATGAGGGGAGCAGAATAAAAGAGGGAAAAAATGTAATTGCATCTATCCACAGCATATCTACAGCTCAGAAACTTAAAATCAACACAAATTCTGTTTTATCTTTTCTTCCAACCATTAAAAGCGATCTTAATCTAAAGTTCTGCAGGCTTTCTGTAGGATGTATTTGTGCTTTAGCTGCGTTTTCACTCATTCACTTCAGTCCAGCCTTGTACTCCAAAGTATTTTATTGAATGAATGTGAGGAAAATCAAATAATACAATCGTGGGAAAAATAATGTTAAGTGCAACCAGTTTTATGTATAGGTTATAACAAATATCCCATGCTTTCTCATTTAACTTTGTACAGTCTATCATCTAAGACAGCGATCTACAACGCTTTCACTGCCAAGGACCCCCAAAGTGATGGCAAGACGGAGCAGGGACCCCTAATTATATAAATTGTATGAAATTATGTTAAATCAAACTGGTCCTATAGTCACTCTATTACAGATTGAGTAATGTAATGAAAGTAATTTCTCCCTGGGATTATTTAAGTATTTCTGA